CAAAACGTTTAAATGTTTTACAAATTACAAATCAAAAATTCAATGAATAATAATAATAATAATAATAATAATAAAATAATAATAATACAGTAAACAATGATAATATTATAACTTACTGTACTAATAATATAAACAGAAGTGTGGAGAATGCTGATATTTTACTTACACAGGCCTAGCTTCTTGATTATGAATGATAAGGCATATGTTGTACAAAAATTTCTTTCAATGCAATAATTCTTCAACTTTGATTTATTGTTTAGATTACAATTTACAAATAGGCCTAGGCTATTTGTATCGGTTTGAAGATGACCAGCATATTTTATTTCATAAATTAAAGTTTACAATATTCAAGTCATAGGCCAAGATACAATTAGAAAACTTTCATGTTATTAATATTATCATTCATTTACAGGCGAAATTAACATATTATCGGCGACGATTCACAAACCTATGGTACTCTGTCTGTACAACCTAACCTTTCTCCTCTGCAGTGTTGACTCAAAGATATTATTATGGCCTAAAATAGACGGAGCCTCTCTAGGCTTGATAGTAGGCTGCTAGCAACTAGGTATATGACTAGATGATAGACAAAAAGATAATCTTAACGAAAAATAAAGAATCGTCCTCACTTTATCTTTTCAAAATAATACAGCGCGTTGATTAATTAATTCCAAATTTAGGTAAATATGACTATATATGATATTTACAATGATATATTAAAATCCCAGAATTGAATTGTCTTCCTGGACAGAATAATGAAGGAAAGTTTATGCAGCATCAGTGTTTTATAGTGTTATAAATCTATACGCGCGCACGCTGTTTGGTGACAACATGGCGCCCATGTGAAAAGTTGGCCAAACTCTCTCTATCTGACGCACCACATGGTGCTCACATAATTTAAGTGTTGTAGGGTATGGTCCATTGAGCTATTAAACAACTAGAGTGCTGACAAGATGGCGAAGCAATGCAGATGTATGTGTACCATCCAAGATAGCTGTCATAGGTAAGCGCCACCTTCAGGCTTAGTATACATATTATTCCCATAAATAAGTCTGGTTATTATTTCATTAATGATAATGAGTCATATTAATAACACATTCTTAAAATCGTAGCTAAAACTAGCATGAAAGGAATGAAAATTAAAATCGTGCACAATCGTGGCCGGATGTTTCACCGACAGATATTTGTCAGACAGACATTTGGCCTACAGACTATCAACCGAAATACCATTTCGCCGAATGTCAGTTCGCCGACAAACAATTTGCCGACAGACAATTCGCCGACATTCTGTTGTGGCCGGACGTTTCACCGACAGGCGCTTGGCCGAGCATTCGCCCACATTTTGCTGAATGCCAGTGTGCTGACAAGGTGGTTCGCCGACAGCCAATTTGCCGACAGCAAAATCCGTTAATGGATAGATGTGCCTCATAGTGGCATATTTAGATGATTTGCGTACATTTCAATTTTCCTTAAATTTGCAATAAATTCACACCTGGTATCTTCTATCCTGTCTTACATTTTATATCAGTTTGTAAAATTAAAAAAAAAAAATCCCTTTATATTGGTTTAGTTATTACAGTCGCTTATGATTTTCTTAGTATTATTTAATAAAAATATAGATGAACGTGTGTTTAATATAGGCCTGTATTTAATATTTTTGACAGAATCTTGTTGCATGATTAATATATTGAAAGTGTGTCTGCATGTATGATAGCTTTAAAGAACGACTTTCCATGATGACTACCCAGTCCTCCACAAAACAAAACCTCTGTCGAAAAAACATCAATCACAACATCACAAAATAAATTGTCGATGAATTGGTTGTCGGCAAATCGGCTGTCGGTGAATGTCCAGTCGGCAAAATGTCCAGTTGTCGAATTCCGGTGAACGTCCTTTTGATCAAGTGTCCTACTGTAGTACGACGAAGAATCATCAATCACATCACAAAAGTAAATTGTCGGGAATTGGTTGTCGGCGAATTGGCTGTCGGCGAATCGTCCAGTCGGCGAATTTGATTTCGGCGAATTCAGGTGTCGGTGAATTTTCTTTCGGTCAACTGTCTGTCGGCCAAACGTCCGTCGGCAAACTGGCATTCGGCAAAATGTCCTAGTACCGTGTACATCTTACCCGTATACCGCAACGCCCGAGTTTCAAACATACTGGTAACTATTCGTACAGAACTTTCTGAGTAAATTGAGGGCGCAATTGTAAATGATGGGGCTTAGGCAAAATTTGATTGGCTAAATCTATGGCAGCCATCTTGGATGGTACACACACACAGCTCTGCGTATTTCGAACATCGAATACATTGCAGTTAGCGCTCTAGTATTCTTATATCTCTATGGTATGCTCCGACTCCCATTGACTCACTGAATACGTGCTTGGTTGATATTGAAAACCAGCCATGTGCAAATTCTGCTGATAGTACGATGTGATAGGCCCAAATATGACTTATCCTAGATACAAAAGTAGGCCAAACATTGAATTTCCAATAAACTACAGCAATCCACTACAAAAAATTAAGATTTATATAAAAGATTGTTGCTAAGAAATGTTAAATCAAACGCAGAAACTGTACTACTATATTTTCTTATTTGTTTTAGACAGGGTATGCACAGCATACCTTGCTTGCCTTGACGGTCCGCCACTGACCGTAAATTACGGTAATTTTTTTTATTGTATTTTATGTAAATGTTAGAAATTGCATTGGAGCTTAATGATCACAAGCTTTGCTCTATTTTAGGTCCCCACTCATACTTATATTATTGTTTCTATTTTATAGTGTGTGTTGGAAGAATTTGAATTAAACCTCGCACAGAAGCCCAATGGTTAATCTCAAGTAGAAGCTCATCTCGAAAGAAGCCCATGGTCTTCTTTTCAAGATAGCAAAGGGGTTTTTTTTTTCCCATTTTTTTGTAGAGTACATACACTGTACATGAATTCCAAGGCAAAAAAAAAAAAAAAAATATTACAACATGCTTGGTTTATGCAGTAGTTTAGGTGATTTAATGCCAGTTAATACACTCATTGTTTTATAGTAGCTATTCCAAAAACTTTACAGCATTCATTTTAAAAAGAAGCAAGGGTAAATTAGAAAAAGTAAATTAGAAAATATATAAATAAATTGAAATAATCTAAAGGGAATGAACAATCGGATTTGTGCCGTGGGCATCCTTCCTTTGTGATCAGGTAAAGTTTAAAGTGTTTGTTTCCTTATTAGCTCTTTTCTTCCCACACTATTCTGTGTTAAAGGTATTTTCATTATTGAATAAAACGTTACACAATAAATTAAAAAGAAGCTCAAACACCTCTATGTAGCCTCGAAAAGATGTCCATCCATCTCGAAAAGAAGTCCATATCAAAAAAAAGCCTATCCAATGTTGGCAAAAGAAAAAAAAAAGCTGCCCATTAGGGGCACAATAAATAGGCCTTAATAATTATAATCAAAATAAATGTTTCCTGCATAATATTTAGTAGAAAAATAATACAGCCAGCGAGCCCAAACACCCTACCCCAACACTTCAATGAAAGTTTTAGATAATATAATTAATAATAATAGATAATAGTTGGATTTGTATAGTGCATCATACAAAAAAAAGGTTCTATGCGCTTGGTGATTGAGCTCTTTGACTATTGCATTTTGAAAAAAAAAATTGATGTAGTCCTAAGAAACAAAAACATACTCCTTAAACTAAAGCATGTTTGGCTGTTGGTTCCGAGGCGTTCATCCGCCAATTTTGTTTTTCTTTTCCTTTCTGCTGGGTCTCCATCCACAATCCCACCGGCGGCCGCTAAGACAGCGGGGGGAGGGAGGCCGTCGGTGGGAGGGTGGGATTGATTATCCTCTCCATTTCAAAAGTGTAATGTTATATTTAATCTGGATAAAAATTGAAATTTTAAATCCTTACACATTTTTTGTTTCAAAATTAAATGCGGCTTGTGTAAAAATAACATCAGAGCTTCCGGGTCTAGGAGAGGAAAAGGAGTCATCAATTACTACTTGACAAGTTCATCTGTATCAGGATATATGAGGGTGTTCACATTTAAGGACCTAGCATGTATTTCTGAAGTGTCTTGTTTTTAACTTGTTTTTGTTTCATTTTGTATTCATTTGTTTTATTTATATATTTTCGACTGATAGGATATAATAGAAGTAAATGCCTGAGTTGATATTTTGTGAGTAACACTTTGTATACAAAAGGGTATACAAAGTGTATACCCTTTTGTATACAAAGTGTTACTCTGTATACAAAAGGGTATCTTAAATCATATCAATTGTAGAGAATTACAACTGTTGTCCAACATGTAACAAAAAATGTAGGACAATCATGACTTCTATTGTAGTACATCAATCTAAAAAATGATGTACCATGTGCAAACTCAGTATTGACTATAATGTAATTCTGAATTTCAAAGATTATTCTTTTTATTATATACAATAATTTTTTTTTAATTGTTTACTTCATTGGAATTTGTGAACTCTGTGTGTATAAATGTTAATAAAAAAAAACATGCTCAAAGCGTAGTAAACTTCTATTCACACTCAAATTTTGTGACAAATATGAATTGTCAATAAATGGACATGATTATGTCATTACACATCTATATTTGACATCCATATATGGGCAAACTATGTGTACTTTAGCTTTAAAGGACAGGTTTATAATTTATTTTAATTTTTTACTTCATTGGAATTTGTGAAACCTGCTTGACTCACCAGACGGCTTTTGAGCCGAATGCATAGTAGCTGCCATTGCTATAACCGTGGAGTACGAGTTGTTGTTGAACAGGCCTGGCCCTGTGGACACTATGGACACCTTGGCTTGCTTGCTTGTCTGCCTGTCTACGT